AAAAGTCTCATCATAATCGATGCCATATGTCTGACTATACCCTTTTGCCACCAGGCGAGCCTTGTAGCGCTCAACTTGTCCATCTGGATTCTGCTTCACAGTGAAGACCCACTTGCATCCAACTGCTCTCTTTCCTTCTGGTAACTTTACTAGCTCCCAAGTGCGGTTCTTCTCTAGAGCTCCTAGCTCCTCGTGCATAGCCGCTTTCCATTTTGGGTCCTTCTTAGCAACCTGCCAATTGTTAGGTACAGTAACAGAGTCCAATGATGCAATGAATGCTCCATATGCAGGGTGGATACTAGAATATGATACATACTGGGCAAGATCCCAACCATATCTATCGGGAGGATGTCCCGCATTACTGCGAGTAGTCCTCCGTACTGATATTGGTGTGGGAGGAGTAGGGAGAGGAATGTTATCAGTAGGAATGTTATCACCTTGGGATGAAATTGGTGGTGGTGTAGGTATTTCAGGAGTCGGGGTGGGCTTTGGCAAGAGACTTGGCAGCACTAGTGGCACTGTAGGTACTGTTTCTCCAATTTGTTTGCCCTTCCTACTATAGGTTAGTAGCTCCCCCTGAACAGTGGGCCTAACACCTCTTGTCTCATTTTCCTTTTCTTCTTGATTCTCCTGCTCCTCCTCAACCAACTCCTCCTCAACCAATTCGCCCTCCCAAGGAATCGATACAGAAATGGATTTCTCCACATTGTTCTCCGGTCTCTCACTATTCTCCTCCTCTCGCCCCATACTTCTAGTATTGGGCGAGTTACCAGCAGATGAAGTTACCTTCTGGGTGTAATATGGCTCAAGTTCTCGAAAGTGCACATCCATGCTCACAAACAACCTTTTTTCCACCGGGCTCCAGCAAACATATCCCTTCTGAGTAGCAGAATATCCCACAAAGATACACTTCACAGCTCTAGGGGCAAGCTTCCCGACAGACGGCCTGTTGTCCTTCACAAAACACACACAGCCAAACACTTTGAGTGGAAGGATCCCACCATTATCTCCTTTCAATATCTCACACGGAGACTTCCAATCCAGCACTCTCGAGGGCATTCTGTTGATCAACGCTGCTGCGGTCAATACTGCTTGTCCCCATAATGTCTCTGGGACATTCATAGAGATCATCATGCTTCTAGCAACCTCTAAAAGATGTCTGTTCTTCCTTTCCGCTACCCCATTCTGTGCTGGTGTGTATGGACAGGTTGTCTGGTGATGTATTCCTTGAGCTGACAAATATTCTTCAAGGGCTCTGTTGGTATACTCTGTCCCATTATCTGACCTTAATACTTTCACCACTGCTCCGTATTGGGTCTGAACAGTCCTATGAAAATTTTGGAAGCATCCAAACACATCACTCTTATTCTTCATCAGGTATAACCAAGTAACACGAGAGAAGCAATCAATAAATGTAACAAAATATTTGTATCCATTCATAGAACTTGTGGAACAAGGTCCCCAAACATCTGAATGTATCAGGTCAAATGCATGAGAACTTCTATAACCAGAACTAACATAAGAGCTTCTAGTAAGCTTTCCAAACTCACATGCATCACAAACAAGTTTCTGTTTATTTGCTTTCTCAAATAAAGAAGGATACAATCTACCTAAAACACTAAAGGATGAGTGTCCCAAACGTTGGTGATGGAGCATTAACTCATTTTCAGTACTCGTTTTAGGTCCTACTCCTACTTCCTCTATGACTGACACCAATGCTGAATCCAGTCCTTCACGATCCAGATACCACAGTCCACTACGCCATGTGCCAGTCCCAAGTCTCCGCCCTGTCCCCTTCTCCTGGAAAATCACCTTGGGAATATCAAAAGAAACAATGCATTTTAGTTGAAGGATGATAGAACTAATGGACAAAAGATTGACTGGAAAGGAAGGAGCATGCAAAACATTGGACAAAGTTACAGAACCAGTACAATCAACTGTACCCTTACCAACCACCGGCTGAAATGTACCATCAGCTGTTTGAATACTATCAGGCGATGCTAAGTGAGTATATGATGAGAACTCACTCGCATTACCTGTCACATAACGAGATGCACCAGAGTCGACTATCCATGCTGATGATCTATCAGGAGACATAGAAGCAAGAGCATGTATGTCATCAGTACCTTTGTTCGGATGAGCATAGGTAGCAGTATTGCCTCTGGCGAAGAATGAAGTGGATGCCTCCTCAGTTCCATCCAGTGCTACTTGCTGCTTCTTCCTTAGTATCGCCAGGAGAGCACGATCCTCCTCAGTAAAGACCATCTCAGCTTCCTCTTCCTCTGCTACCGTCAGATTTGCCCGGTTTCCTGCTCCTCTTCCACCTCTTCGACCCCCACGGCCACGACCACGACCTCCGAACTGTCCACGTCCACCCGAATCTCCTTCCTTGGATGGCTTGGTGCAAGCATGCCTTAGATGACCCACTGCACCGCAGTTGTAACACTGTCGAGTCTCTCCCCTAGATCCAGTGTTGCTAGAGGCTGCCAGTGCTGACTTCACCACAGGAAGTCCACCTGTCCCCGCCTGCAGCCGAAGGCGAGTCTCCTCCTGGATCATAGCAGAGACAGCCTCCTCAAGCGTGAGAATCTTCGGCTGAGCTAGCAGCAATGTGATTCGCTGAGCGAACTCTGATGTCAATCATTTAAGAAACACCATAGTCCTCTCTTGTAGAAAGGCCTCCCGCTCTTTACATCCCGGGTCCTTGCAGCTAGCCCGGGGAGAAAAATGATCATAATCCAGCCACAGACGCTCCAGCTCTGTAGCATATTCCTGTACAGTCCTCTCTCCCTGGACTGTGGCGTCAATCTCTCCTTTAATCTGGAATACCCTCAGGTTATTCCCCACTCCATCATATGTCCTCCTCAACTTCTCCCAGACGTCCTTCACCTTCTCAATGCCATCCACCGTGGCGGCGATCGTCGGGACCAACGAGTTGAGAAGCCAGATGTATACCAACATATGAGTGGCCTTCCACTCATCTCTTCCCTCCGAGTCCTCCTCCGGTTCTGTCGCCTCTCCTGTCAAGTAACCCTCCAGGTTCCTCCCTGCAAGGGTGTATCTCACCCGTCGTGACCAACTCAGGTAGGTACTCGGTCCATCAAGCTTCAGATCGATGGTCGGAAGCTCCAACTTCTTCGATGGTTTTGTCGCACTCTCCCCAGCCGACAACTTCATTAGCTTCATCAAAGTGGACACCTCCGCGGGGTTCAACTTCTTGATGATCTCCTCCATCGAATAGGCTTCAGACCCACCACCTGTTCACCTTCTCTTCCGACCCTTGTTGTGTGCAGTAAAAATTTCGGCAGCACCTCTGCTGCACAACAAGAGTAGGAGCTCAAACAAATTCTCGTATCTCAGAGGAAACAAGAATCAAAACCAGTTATATATCTCATCGATGTGAGATATAAACTCTTCCTGTCATCAGTTCGAGGACTGAGTCCGATTTTGGGATCCCATAGCAAACTGAGGTTCGACAGGATGCAACAGGGGGGTTCGAGGTGGCAGGGCGGCTAGAAGGGGTCGGGGGCTGAGGGGGGGGGAGGTCTGGGGGGGTACGACTAAGAGAAAAAGGGGGGGGGGGGTCTGGAGGTACGGCTAAGGGGGGGAGGGCTGAGGGGGGGGGTGTCGGCTGGAAATCGCTGAGGGGTGGGGGAGGTCGCTGAAGTGGAGGAGGGGGTCGCTGAGGTGGGGGGGGGGGTCGCTGAGGTGGGGAGGTCGCTGAGGCAGAGGGGGGGGAGGGGTCGGGGCTGGAGGGGGGGTCGGGGCTGGAGGAGGGGGGTGCGCTAGAGGGGGGTCGGCTGAGGGGGGGTCAGGGCTGAGGGGGGGGGTCGCTGAGGGCAGAGGGGGGGGAGGGGTCGGGGCTGGAGGGGGTGTGCAGCCGGCGGCTAGGAGAGAAGAGGGTGGAGGCTCTGATACCAAAATGTGAATAGAAACCCTAATTTTATTCATGAGATAAGATGGGCTTATATAGGCCCCTACAACTTACACATAAACCCCTAAACTTAATAATATTTCAACATGGTGAATGATGGCTCTGGTCCTCTCTTCACCCTCATGAATGCCTTTAGGGAGAAAGTTCTTCAAGTTTAACAACAGGAAATGCTCTGCTCCATTAATAACCATCTTTGGATGCATGCTCGCATCCTTTTTTGTATATTTTTTATATTTTTGTAAATATATAAAAGGGGAAGGATCTCCCCTATTTCTTGCTTAAAAAAAGTTTTATTTTCAAGAATAGATTCGAACTAGGTATTAGCTGTCTAGTGGTACTCTTTTGTGGGGTTGGAGAAAAATTAAAAAGTGGAACCTAAGTTTCATGCATATGGGTATGGATACCAGTGTGGTTACCGGTACGGAACACAACAAAATTTTCAAAGTTAGGGTATAGGGACATGGACAAAATATGTGGGTTGTAATCATGGTCCTGAGCTAGATATGCAAATGATCGTTCAAAATTGTGATTCTTAACCGAATATGGCCTGAAATGAACTCGAACCTTGTCCAAGAAGTTTAAAGAATAGATATGAAGTGTAGGGCATACGTTCAAGAAGTATATTATGAGTAGTGTAAATTAAAACATGTATTGTAAAATTCAGTATGCATTCAAATAAATGTATGTATATAATTAAGAAGTGTCTAAGAAGTATGGAGTACAAGTTGAGATGTCTCGGGTATGGGTACGAGGTATAGGATGTGCATGACAATGTAGATGGATAATTGGACGTCTATCTATATGTAAGCCAATTCAACAACAAAACGTTCTTATCGTTCAAAATAATCCGATCACGATTTAACCATTCGAAACACGAAGTATCCTATCAAAATCTGTTGCGCAAAATCCAGTGACAATAATTGTAGGAAATATTTTATTCTATAATATTGATTAAGAGTATAAATCCAACTCCAATAATCATACTTGATGAAACTGCTTCCTCATTATGTGGACGTTTCCTCAAACATCTTGTGCTTGTCAATTGGATGGATGTTAAAAGCTCTTATCTCAACTTAAGTTTATCTAGCTTTACTACGCATACACGTACACACAAAAGTATATACATACGGACATACACACACCCATAAACTCAAAGTTTGCATACATTTCATCTTACCATGTAGAAATTTTTTCCCTCACACACAATACACATCTCCAGAGTAAGTGTAGTGTTAAAAGCTCTTATCTCAACTTAAGTTTATCTAGCTTTACTACGCATACACGTACACACAAAAGTATATACATACGGACATACACACACCCATAAACTCAAAGTTTGCATACATTTCATCTTACCATGTAGAAATTTTTTCCCTCACACACAATACACATCTCCAGAGTAAGTGTAGTATTCATACCTTGAAATAGATTAGTGTTGATTGTCCATCCAATCCTTTGGATCTATAACGTGTGACAAACTCCTTTATTGTGATCTCGCGATATATAGGAGGATATTCAGCGGATAACAGCTCCTCTATGGGGCCATACATCTTTGAAGAGGGAGATATATGCGTACTAAAGAACGATGCCACTGAAATTCTCGGGCCAATCTTGCTAGCAAGTACTCGATGTTCAACACTTTTAAACTTGTCATTAGAAATCAGCTGCAAGTTGACCAAGAACGGAAACAGAATTAAAATGAAGTTGATCAAATTGGGATGAACATTGACAATAAGGATGACATTGAAGAGCGGCTGCTGTTTTTATACAACGGATTTGAACCTTTGTTTTGGTTATTTCGACATAGTTTTTTTGACTACCTTTTCTTTTCTGAATATTGTTATTTTGTTTTATATGTATTGATGCAGATAATTTGATTTAATTTTGTAGTTTATTTGTATCCGTACTTCTCATGGACTGGGAAACATTCTTTTAAAAAATCTGAATCGTTTCATGAAAACGCAAGTTCAGTGCGCTATTGATACAATGAACAATAAGTACCTGTAATAGATCACCAATGTTGATAACCAGAGCTCCAGGTATGGGACATACATCAACCCACTGGTCCTGATGCAAAACCTGCAGACCACCGATGTGGTCCTGTAGAAGAACAGTCAGGAAGCCAGGATCAGAATGCTTGCTGGATCCCAGAGTTAGATGTGGTTCTGGACACGGCGGAGAATAATGGATTACATGATAAACACCTCTGGCACACTCCATTTCTTTGAGATGGTTCGGTTTTAGCCCCAGTGCCTCGGATAGTAACATGAACAAAAAGTTTCCCAGCTTTTGGATATGTTGTGTGTACTCAATTATTATTTCCCTGCAGGTTCGAGGCAAGAATGTGTAGGGGGACAATCGTGAATATACGTGTGATCGACATGGATAGTGAGAAGAATGAAATTGATCAGCACATTCATAAAATATGTGTAATAGTATAAACTTGATAAAAAATAACTTTTTTCCATAAAAAATGATTTAGTTATCCATTTTGTTGCACTAAATAAAAGTAATGTTGTTTTAGTATAAAGCTCACTAGGAAATTTTACAAGTGAAACAAATACATATACATGTTGTTGATAACTAAGATCAAACAGTCAATCGTATCCAGAAGAGGATAGATTGGGTTCAGTGTGGATGAATGGTCTCTTTCTTCCCTGACTTTATGTCTGGTTCTTGAATTGGGGCATTGATCAATCTGCATTTGTAGAAACTCGTAAGACGACGGAGATTAGTTCCCCCGTTGTACCTCCAACGATCAAGTTAGTTAATGAACTTGAGTGAGAAAAGTTAGAACAATGTGTTCTTGTGTGCAGTAATTTGCTCCAAGGTTCGATTTGTGTTTTTCTTCGAAAAGTCCCGCCTAAGTTCGAATGATACATGTATTTATATCCAAAGCATGAGGGGTTAATTGGTCACTTCGGTCGAGCATAGTGAGGCGGTGGCAAAGTGCGGGTTGGCACCTGAGTCAGCTTTTAATGGGTAGATCACTTCGGCATTAATGGGAAGTGATCAGTGGAAAGACAGTGGCCCACGTGGTCCGATGAGTCATGAAGACTATCGGGGCCAGAGAAATAATGCACCTTTTATGCATTAAATGTGATGCGGACATGTAGCCAGTAAAGATAGCTTCGTCGAGATGTAACGCCATGTCAAGGCGGTTCCAAGAGGTGTTCTGGACGAGTAGTCGAGTAGTCTCTTCCCGAGTCGTCCACGACGAGAGGACCGACCAACACCCTCTTTCGTGTCGGTATGGGAGAACATCGACTTGGCAAATCGGCTGAGTCAGATTCTTGAGGGATTTGGGCCATCCAGTTGAGTAGAGCAAGACGTATGAAGATGCATCTATTTGTTTGCCAATACATCGTATGTCCATGGGTAGGAATACTATAATAGTTGGTCCCTTTCGCTTGGAGGCGGCTTTAGTCGGGTCCGAGTGAAAATAGAATAAAAAAATACTTTTGGATGTTTGTGGATGAGTTAATTGAGAACTGAAAAGTCTCTTCTAAAACGACGTGGCTGATGTCATCATACCTCCACTTTGTTGCTGTAGCCTCCATTTTTATAGCAGTTTGCGGGCTATTTGAGGCGAATGGCGTGCATTTCTTATATTTGGGGGCTCTTCGAATTCTGTAAATAAATTTGGACCGTTAGATACAGCTATATTCAACAGTTCATGTTCTAGCAGTCAAAGAATGGGCGGTTCTAAAATAGGAATAAGGTTCAAGGAACTGCGGTTATTGTTTTTCCAAGTTTGCTAAGGGAACAGTTCTTCTTCTCCGTTCATCTCTCCTAGAGATCAATTTCTTCTCCTTTCTTTCAATGGCTTCTGATCCTTATGACCGACGAAGTTTCGTAAAGAATATTCACTCGAAAGTAACCTTGCCACAAAAGAAGAGACTTTATAAGAAATTTGACATCCCAGAGGGATATAAATTGTTGGCTCCTACAGCATCTGAGGCTATTTACGACTATGGGCTGGGGCGACATCCGCTCTATGTGAGGCATTTGGAGTGTGGTTTAAGGTTGCCTCTGCATCCTTTTATCAAGCAAGTGTTTGAGGTGCTAGGAGTATCACCGACGCAGATGAAGCCGATTGCGATTGCGATCTTAGTGGGGTTCGTGGTCATATGCCGGTGGTTAGGGATTAAGCCTTCCCTAAAGGTTTTTGGTCGTTTGGTGACCGTGAAGGTGACCCAAAAAGAAGCTCATTTTCACTTCCAAATGACGATGAAGTCCAAACTCATCACCAACCTTCCCGAGTCTCACAAAGATTGGAAGGAACGATTTATTTAGGTCATTGGCGACGACTTAGAAATGGGCTGCTCTAGATGGCTGGAGATAAAGAGGAAAGTACTCTTAGGGGAGTGTTATCAGATACTGAGAGGAACGAGATTGAGATGATCAATGCTTATGCCGGCTCTCGTCGGTTCGAGAATTTGCTTAATAAGTCGGTTCTGAGGGTTGTCGGCGTGTCGCATGAGTCCTCTACTAGTCAAGACTTTGAAATAGCCTCGGTTATTATCACAGGGGAAGCAGAGGCAGCACCAGTGTCTATTGCTCCCACGGTCGATCCTCAAGAGGAACAGTCGGCTAGACAGATAAAGCCCTCTCAGCGTCATCTTCTCTTGAGCCAGCTCAGCCCTTAGGCGGGCGATGGTGGAAGTGGAGGCGTCCATCATGTCCTGCAGTAAGCGCTGCCGATCGGTCAGGTGAGCAATATGGGACTCCAAGTCGGTTATGTCCCTCGCTCAAACCTCCTATTCCCAAGCCCCCCGACGCCGGGCCTGAGCTAAGAGTTGTTCCACGTCAGCCCCCAGGTCCACCTACAACAGATCCTCCAAGTGTGTCAGGCATGATTCCAAATGAAGGAGCCTCATTAGGCAACGCGTAGCAAGTTGGGATTCGCCCAACCTCCTAATGTCAGCCATGCGATCTAAGAGAGACTGTTTGAAATCAGCGTAAGTCCCCCAACCAAGGGTGACGATGGAGATCACTTGCTTGGCAGCGTTCTCCAACTCATTTACGCGAGCCTACATGGAGAGGGAGCTTGGAGAAGCAGGCTCCTGACCAGGAGCAAGTACGACAATAGGCGAGATATCGTGGCCAAACCCTATTTCTGGCTGAGGGATAGACTGCGAAGCGGATGCAGTAGCAGCTTTTCCTAGTTCGTCGTCAGAAACGAAGATGGGTTCAGGCGCTGGCTCACTTGTAGTCGATAAACGGTGTAACAGGTTTGACAACAATGAAAACGATAATTTTTGATGAAAACAGTAGCCTCTGCAGCAGTGGAAGAAGAAGACCCCCTCTCCTTCTTCGAAACAGGTACTTTTGCTCGCGATGCCATCCTGAATGCAGTAGGAGAAAACTTGGGTTTTTCTTGGAGGAAAACAGTAAATGTCGTGACCTCCCCAACGAGGAAGATGAACGCTATATACGAGCAACTTAAACACTCGCCCATCATTCGATTCGACAGTTCAAATCGAACGGTCACAGGCGAGGTGAGGCGATTCGGAATCCCGTGCTAACGGTCAAGATCTAGCAGTTTTTAGGCACGACTTGTAGCCAACGGCTCAGATCGGGCATGGAAGATGAGGAACCTCCATTACATCACCTTTAACTTGAAGCGAGGTGCCCACATCGTCTTAGCTAGCGAGCACGTAGATCCATGAACGGACACGTGGCTCACGTGATTCGAGCTCGCCCACAACCCGAGTTCGCCTTATAACTCGAGTCCGCCTGATAGTCTTAGCTCACCTACGGCCTGGGCTTTTCGAGTTCGTCCAATTCGAGCTCGCCCACGACTGGGATTTGGCCACGGCTCGAACTCGTCTCAAATTCGCCTACAACTCAAACTTGTTCAAGTCAAGTTCGCCTAAGGCTTGAGCTCTTTCGGCTGAGTTTGCCTATGGCTAGAACTCACCCTGTTTAAATTCTCCTGTGGCTAGGACTTCTCCGAGCTCATCTACCACGGATTTACCAAAGGAACCCGAATAATAACACACAGAGAAAAAAATACACGCACATGGAACACGGGGAACAATGATGGAAACAAAAGCATAATTTCATTCATTAAGAGAGACTTGGATACAACGATACATCAAAAAAAAAAAGAGTTACAAATCTCTCAGCCGCGACTCCACCTCCCAGATCTCTTGTGTGTGCTTACGCTCAAACCTGCTCAGGACCTCTTTGCGGATGTTCGCTTCAGAGCACGAGAGTAAGTCCTGGACATCGGTCCTCAACTCCTTGAGGGCTCGGCCTTTCTCCTCGATCCTATCAGCAACCAGTCGTTGTCGAGACCTGAGCTTTTCCAATCGCCCCATCAGCTGTTCATGGGCCTGCTCCTTAGTAGCCAAGAGAGCCTGTGCCTCAGTGATGGTTTGCTTCACCTTCGCTATCTCTGCTGATAGGCTAGATATACTGGAGTTTGCCTTGTGACACTCATGGTCCACCTACTCATCCTCGACGATAGTGTGCTCCATCTCCTCCTTCAGCTGTGTCTCCAACGACATCTTCTCCTCTAGTCTACGCTCCCGCACCTTCAAGGCTGTTTGAACCTCATCAGATGCAAGGTGGATGATCTCAGAACCATTAGCACGAAGGGAGAGCAGTTGTTGGATAGTTAGCTCGGTCTTCTCTAAGCGCGCATAATACAGAGCGACGGCGAAGGCACCAAGCATCTTGACCAAAAAGGCCATGTGGAAGTCGAGGATTTCCTTGATCTCCTCAAAAGGACAACTCTCGTCTAATACGAGCTTGATGCTATCGGCGAGGGTGTCCTGAAAATTGGCAATGGCTCGATCCACTGACCTTTTGTGAGAGCGGGCCACAGGAGAGAGGTTAGCCTTCGTCAGCTGCGCAGAGTGTCCCATCGGGCTACAATCGAAGCGCTGGTTAGCCATGATGAAGGGAGTAGTGGTGGACACCACTAAGGCTAAAGGCCCTGACGCGAACATTGTAGTCCCAACTATAGAGCCGACAGCAGCCTCAGCGGTCACCGAAGCAGGGAACGATGAAATGACGGCCAGTGAGGATGTGTCGTATTGAGTCGGAGCCTCGCCTGCTGGGCTAGCGCTTCATCCATCAACCGATGTCTCCTCAAGAATCGGAGCCTTCCCCCAACTGGGCTGGCACTTCTTCAGGGCCAGTGCCTCCTGGCTCGACGTCTCCCCGTGGGTTGAAGCATCATCTCCCTCATCCTCTTCTTCTTCTCCTTCATCTTCCTCCCTTGCCGACCAATCGGCCCTAGAGGGAGGATCCTCTTTACAAGTTGCTCTAAAGGTCAAGTCAGCTGCGAATATGGAAGAAGTGTCAATAGCAACCGCTATAAAAGTCACAAATAGCAAGT